CTATGTTGCCTGAAAGACAAAACCTGGGGCTAAAAGCCCACTCATCTCCTGTTGCTGCTTAATAAAACACAAACCTACACACATGAACCTCAGAATCTTGTTTTAGCTTTTCAGGAAGACAAACATCAGTTGTCCAGAAGCTGGAACAAACCCCTGAGAGGATGTGAGACTTTAGTTCACCAGCACTGGAGCTATAACCTCATGATCAGCAGCCCCACTTCATCCAGCTTCCACTCACTTCCGATCCACTCACCTCTCCTGGCTGTGAGGTCCATCTTCGCTTTGTATTGCACCTGCTTGGAATCTTATCACACCACTAAATGGCCTTTATCAGTTGTGGTATGTATTATAACAGCTCAGACAGCATGTCTATAAATCACAAGCTTCCCTTCCCTGGTCCTCCACCTACACACACACACACACACACACACACACACACACACACACACAGAGAGAGAGAGGGAGGCTGCATACACTCCTGTCCACACACAGAGATGCTGGCAAACGCGCTCCCACATAAACAAAGCAGCAGCTCCATCACTCTAGTGCTGATGCTGTAAAATGACTGAATGCAGGAGCGGTCTGATTGTTCCTGCCGTCTGGCTCTGAGGCGAATCACTGCAGTGAACGTACAGTAGATCCCTCCATCGCCCCACTGCTGCGTTTCTTCCACGGAGTCCAGAGGTAAAACCAGGCCCCTCACAGACTCTGTACAACTGATGGCGACTCTGTTGTGTCTTCTAATTTGACCCTTTAACATCTTAATGTCCCCTTTTTCTGTATGACCCTTACAAATCTTTAGCACCATCACCTGACAGCCTCACATATCATATATCTTCTGTATTTATGTCTAATGCTTCATGTGGACTATGTTCTTATTTCTAAATCTGTTATTTTTCCTTTAAAGTGTGTTTTTATTTTGTTATGTTGCAATTATTGTTTGACGTCTTAACTGTTTTATTGTGCTTTTACTCATTTCTCAGCAGCATTTTAATGTTAATTTCTTTATACACTAATATTAGAAAAATAACTAGTAGCTATATCTGTCAGATAAATGTAGTGCAGTAAAACATTTCCTCAGTATAAAAAAAAACTACAAGCACCTGAAAATTGTACTTAAATACTGTACAGTACTGCAGTAAATATACTAATTTACTGTCCACAGCTGGTTGTGGGGGATGTGTATAAATTGTTTTACAACACTTCTGGAATTCACAGATTTCTATTTAATCAAGATGTTGGCGGTGCATTTTTCTGCAGTGTAGTGTCTTTCTTTCCGGTCACCTGCAGCTCTGTGCCACAGGGTGTTTGTCTTCTGCTGCATGTCTGTGACTGTGTTTTATTGTGACACCCTGCAGACTTACAGCCGCACTGCGCCGGCGTCAGGCAGGTTGTATAAAAGGCTTATTTAGTCATTTTACCTCTTCAGTCAGTGACTTGGATTTTATATTACATAGTTACATGTTTTAACTTTTACCACCTGCAACCGAAAAATGCTGAATATATATTTTTGTATCAGTAATAACAGTACTATAATGTGACCACAACTTCACTTTTCGCTGATAATTCTGATGTACTTTTACTTTAGTGAAAGCTATGAGACAGTTTAAAGTAATTAAATGGAAAATGATTTATAGACATTTTGTGCCTGTCAGTTACAGAAGAGAGATTTATTTATGTGAAAATCTGAGTGAATATAATGATAACCTCAAACATATTGCGTTCAAATATTAAGTTAATTTCTCACTGTAAATCATCTGAAGTCTGACTGTGAATACAGGTCAATTTGTTGCCACAGTACTGGACGTGCACAAATACATACCGATGCCTGAAATTCTAGCTCATCAAATCATTAATGCTAAATCTCCATTACACTGACATGTGACCAACAGCACAGCAGCTTTGACATCTATGTCTTCAGACCGGTTAGTGGTTCCTCTTCCTTTCATCCTGACAGAGAGATGGACTGCCATCATTACCTACGGAGGAAGAGGAGGATGAACGGTTCAGCTCCTCAGACGTGTTAACCAGCTGCCACCTAGTGTCACTTCTGGGACTTACAGATATACACCAACGATCCGATTCAGCCCACTGTGGTTCCCAACATGAGGGTCAGGAGCAAATTCTGGAGTCGCTCGGGAAACCCGACAGGGGTGGGATTAGTTATAAGGACAGAAAAGCAGAAACAAATACTCTACCATGCACAGTTAAGTTTCTCTTTCAGGTTTGCTTCTAGTAACCTCATCTTCTATAAGTCTACTAGATAATTTGACCTCTGGCCTCTAAAAGTATTTAAATAAAACTATCTGAGAAGGAGAAACCTTCCTTTGTTGAAGTGGTCACAACATGTAAATGTGCACTGTTGCAGTTTAACATGGTTTCATTTTACGGGCTCACTGGCCAGTGAGGCTGCCTTAAAGAAATACTGTTGTCAAGGGTATGAAATGATTCAGACTGTCCTCTAACAAGGACCTTAAAACAGCATTTAGAAAGAACAAGAATGATTTGAGAAGGGTGGCACAGCAACATTTTATAAATGTTGAAACTAGTGAAGGATTTGACCTCCACTCACATTTGTTGTTAAATGAACTGGGTTACTGAGGAAAGCCCCTGTTTTTCATGTGAAACTCTGTGTACTGTGATGTAATCAACTACAGACTGTTCCAGACGAAGAGAGACACAACTATCAACTGTAGGATAAGCGTGCGTCTCAGTATGATTAGCATCTAAGTCTTGTTATCATGGTGCGCCTGTTTACAGTATATTATGTTGTATGAACCTACCTCACTCAGACAACTCTGGATGTTCATGCTGACTTGTCTCCTTGCTGCAAGTAAACTAATTATTTACAAAGATTCCAGTGACTTTGCTTCATTAAAAATTCCTTTGACAGCTCCAAACTAGTAGTGATGTCATAATGTGCAGGTGTTAAACTAAGATTTCAGAGCAACTTTCCTTCTTCAACACATGAAGGTGAAAACAAACGGTACCAACATCTTTCTGCGTAGCCAACATAACCAATCACTGGCTAAAGACATTTTTTGAGTGCAAGTGGACATTAAAAGTAAAATATCTGGGTACTTTCTGTAGCACTATCAAAACAAGGATGTTTGTGATATATTCAGATGGCATATCATTTGAATGGCGTGACACTCAATGACAAGACTCAGGTTTTTGCACGGCCGCTGCCCCGTGATGCTGATCTGAATACACTGAATAAAAGCCAAGACAGGGGAAATCTGCCTATATTACAATAGGGCCACAAGGTGAAGGTAAAAGGGGCCTCCATGCTTGTCTGATCATGCACTTGACAGTTGTTGCACGGAGGTGGGCACGGCCTGTTGAACAAAAGGTCGGCAGGCATCATAGACTCCCCTGGCAGGCTGACGGTTTGACAGACGCAGATTTGCCTCCATTGACAGCCGGCCAGCAGCTTTTACCGCACCATCCCTGCAGCTCGCCTCATGCTGAGTAGATGGAGGGAGGGGTCAAAGGTTATGGCTGGAAGAAGCAGCAGTGATGGGAGACTGTCACGGCCCAGTGATCTATGTGCAGGAGCCGGGAGCCTGGCATGCAGACTGAACTCATTCTGTCCAGCCAGCACACTCATCTCTGGCTACTAAATTAGATCCATTGCCAATTCATGAAAGGCAGATATCTGACAGCATGCCTGCCAAGTTCCCCAGGTTATATGTGTAACAGTGAGCCATCACGGCACCAGGCTGCTCATAAATAGGCCTACATGTAAAGTCAGGTCAGACAAAATTGGTCCAGCGTCCCTGCTGGAAGATTGTCATGTAATAGAGAGCATCTGAGACCAGGCTGATGGATACACACTGGAGACCAGTGGTGGATGAAGCACTGAGAAACCTTAAGTAAAAGCAATACCACACTGTAAATGTAGCCTACATCACTACAAGTAAAACCCCTGCATTCATACTGAAGTACAGCAAACAGTAAGATCAGACCCTGTCAGAGTCACATATTTAGTATTTAAATCATGAACTCCACAGTAGCTAGCAGCAATATGAAATGTAGTGGAGAAATGTAAAAAGTACTGCAATATTTGCAGTAGTGAAGTTGAAGTAGTCCTATATAAAGTAGCATCAAATTAAAATACTCAATTAAAATACCCCAAAAGTGTACTTAAGTGCAGTACATGAATGAGCAGTGCTATGGAAATACTGTATATTATATGAAAATACAGAAGCAAATAAAAAAACGTAAGGTTAGAGTTAGGCATTCACAAACAGCCAAAGTGGTTATAGCTTTCTTAATTTACTTTACAGTTAAGTTTAAGTGAGACACAGTTAGGGCCCATGGGATACGACTAATGAGTCGTGACTCTAACCCTTAAGTCACAGATAAGTGTTATCTTTGGTGTGAAAGCATAAGTCTGAAGCAAACAATTGCAATCGCAGTCGCCTACAGCCGCAAAGAGGGTGTTTGTTCATAGAAAACTACATTTCCCAAAAGTCTCTTCACAACGCGCATGCGTACTTTATTCATAACGACATGGGGGACAGTTATGTTTTCAGTAGCAACCGTTACTCTGAACTGTATAGAGTCTGCGTTAAATGTAAGAGTACATTCTTGAAAAATGTTTTGATACGAGGAGACATATGCGGTATTATCAAAGTTAGGAGAATTGGCTAACCCGTTAGCTGCCTCAAAGGTGCGGAGGTGATGTAAGTAGCTTTAGCTGACGAAGCTAACTCACCGCTAGTTTGAAATTTGATGGAGAAAAACCACAACAAAAACGCTCAGTGTTACTCTGCCATCACTGACATACTTACTTAACGTTAGTCTTAATATGGCACATTCTACTTTTCTCAAATACTGGCACTTTTACAAATCACTAGAAGATGTGACGCCAGACAGTTTAAATTCAGGCATCTTTTCTTGGTCAATGACAGTTTTAAGCACCGTTATGGATGTCCGTGGCATCAAGGATGTCTTTCGCAATAAATGTTTAAATATGATTAAAATGAAAGGTTCTTGAGGTATCACTGGTAAGCCGAGTAGCCAACATAAGAAGACAGGAACTATCTGTACAAAGTCTTAATTGTTTCTCTATCCTGTGTCTTTTAATCCTTACAGAGAACTAATCCTTAATCATGGGTTTTTAAATCGAGTTTCCAACCTGTTTATATTAACTGAGGACTTTATACCGACCCAGTGTTTGGCATAAGGTGAACATCTGTTTTGACATGTATGACCTGGTGTGTAATGAAGGGACTTCTCATCTTCAGGTTGAAGTATGTCCACTGTACTGGATGAGACAGCAGCAGATGTCCCAGTCAGAGACATCGCTGTCAGCCAGCCCCGACTTACAGCTGGTCCCCAAGGTCTGTGATGCTCCCTGTCCTCACAGCAGTCCTCTGTGTTACTGGTCCTTTTTGGCATATTGGTCTGTGGAATGGCAGGCGCTCTTATATTCAAATCCCCAATGTTGTTTCCATGTTCTCTTTCAACCACCAGACACTCTGGAAGCCATGAGATTCAATCTCATTCATTGTTGTTTTCAATTAATTGCTGAATTGTGTTGGAATATGGAACAGAGTGATCTAGAAATTGATGTACATAATTGTTGTTTGTGGTATGTTTACCATCATGACTAAATAAGCAGTAGAATAATTATTAAGTAAGAATACTATACTCTATCTGGCAAGCAGGTTGATATGTCAGTCAGTCTCATACGAAGAGAAAAGAGGACAGTGTGCATCCAAGCACAAGCTACCTCACCTTCTTCCCTACGTACTTATAACTGACTCTTTTTGCTAATTTACAGTTTATGGTTTTCCACAGATCTTTTCCTCTTTCCTGCTGTAGCTCTTCACCATCACATGTGCATTCTCTGGTCACGCAGTTGTTGTCAAGACATTAACAGGTCTTGTCATGGTCCCAGAACTGCAGTTTGTTTACTATCATCTACATGCTGGAAAATGTAAAGATAATCAAAAAACTAATATGATTTTTTAAAATGTATTTATTTATGTTTTTGGGGACAGACTCGTCAGTGTATCAAAATGCTCGTGCGCGACAGGACATCTCGCGGGTGTCCAGGGAGGAGCTGGAGGACCGGTTCCTGCGGCTCCATGAGGAGACCCTAGACCTCAAACAGCATATTCACACACAGGATGACAAGATCAAGAAGTGAGATACATGCCACACAGAGCTGGACCAAAAGTGTATTCTGAATATTACAGTACTATTAAGATATGAATGAACACCTTCACCAATTCATTTAGCTTTAATGAAAATGTTAAGACACATCATCACTAGGAGCAAAATAAGATAATCTTATAATTTCTTACAATGCTTTAAGACTTTTCAAAATCACTTAGGACTACAAGTTTGTATAAAATGTTGAAAACATTTTTTGTAAGAAAAGGAGGTGATGAAGGCCACAGGCAGAAACACAAGTTCTTCATATGCTCTACAATACTCCTCATTAAACTGAGCACTATGTGTCAGACTAGTGCAGTGCTCCTTTAACCTGCAGATGGTGACACAGTGATCTTTCTTTGGCTTTCACCGTCTGTGTCCTCCACCCTACAGGCTTGGCACTAAGCTGATGAGGCTGGTGAAGGACCGAGGTCGTATGGAGCACCTTGCAGCAGGGGGAGCCCATCCAGTTTCCAGGGTTCGGGACATAGAGATGGAGGAGATGATGGAGGATCTCCAGGAGAAGGTCCGGGCCCTGCAGTCTGAGAACGAGGGACTGAAACAGCGTTTCCTAGTGGCCAAACAGCAGCTCATCAACTCGCAGAACAGCAGGCCATCGCCATACGGCCACGTCCAGTCACGAGTCAACTCTGGATTAAAGAAGCTGAGAGATGACACCTCGTCTCCTTTTCTAACACGCCCAAAAAGTGAGTTACAGATATTTCAGTGTGAGGTATATGGAGGAGATAGCTGTGTTTTAATGATAAAGACCCTCAGCTGTAAACCTACTGTTCTGTGGGTTTAGTGTATGTTTGTAAATGAAATCTGTGGCATATAATGTAAGTGATCTGTGTCCAAACGGTAACAGTCTAGTGTTTGCTGTCTCCTGCAGGTTCCTCACTGACCGCTACTGCACAGCGCTTTAGTTGCATACCTCTTTTTATTGCTCTGTTCATCCTCCTCTTGTCTGTCTTATTTACAGTAGTTTCCTACTTTATTATGGCTACACTGGTGCTTATACTGTGGCTATCAGAGCCTACACTGGTCCACTGTGAACAGACTCTCGGGTTCTGTCTCCTGCAGGTATGAGGAGTTTAGAGGGGGGTGGGAGACCTCCGACTGGCCAGCTGCCTCGATACGGGCACAGCCTGCTGGAGGAGGCGAGGGCCGAGATCCGCAACCTGTGAGTACTGCCCAGAACCTCCACACAGCAGTGTGTGGAGGTGCAGGGTTGTTTATGTTAAACACCAAACAAATAGCTGATACAGAGTACAGAGCTAAATTCTCAGTGTCTCAGGATTTCTACATCACACACACAAGTTGTCATCCGTAAAATAAAGAGTGACAGCTTTGGTGTTAGAAGTTGTCATTCTTTATCTTAAATTAATGAAATGAACTGAGATCAGAGAAATCCACTGTCCTGACAGACAGTCTGACATCCAGGGTTCATGAACTAACATTTGGAAATACAGGGTTTTCACCTGATGGAAACATGTCATGTGCCACTACCTCCTCAGAGCTGGTTTAAGATCAACATGCTCTGTGTTTGTGGACCAGGGAGAATGTGATCGAGTCCCAGCGGAGCCACATGGAGGAGCTGGAGGGAGCCTCTGAGTTGCTGAGGGAGGAACTGAGGAAGAAGGAGGCAGAGTATGAAGAGAGACTTCTCCAGGTCCGACAGCAACAGACCTCCAGACTGAGGTAGAATTTTGTTGAATCAAACTGACCCTTAATAGCTGTTGTGTGACTGGTGTTGCTGGTATGAGCTCAGTGCCACGACCTCTTGTCAGTCCACTCACACAGGAGTGGGCGTCACGCTGCTGCCAGTGATCCCTAATAGGGATAAGACGTCTCAGCACTTCAGCCACTTGAAACTTGTGACCTAATGAAAACCTGAGTCTGGAAACACTGTGGATGTTACCTCACTGCTGTTGAACTGCGAGCAGTGTGATGTTTTTATACCTACAACTATGGCTCATGTAAACACGTGAACCTGAATGTGAGAGCGGCTGAATGTGATCGGATAGATCACTTTGTTAAATGCACAGAAGACACACATGTATCTGCTCTGTAAACAATCTGTCAGAGTTTCGCACTAACACTCATGTGTTGTGTTCTCTCGCAGATCACATGTCAACAACAATGTGATGATGATGAAGCTGCAGAAGCAGCTGGCTGACAGGTCCAACACCGTGACAGAGCTGGAGGGTCGATTTCTGCAACTACAGGAGGTGAGATGTGCTCACAGCCTCTTTCTCACTGAAATCCTGCAATAACAGCAACTTTCAGGCCAAATAATTAAATCAGTATTGACAAATCAATAGCGGTGTCCTGTGGGGAGCAGTTTCCACGTGTTGATCTAATACAAGAAGTCTGTAGAGTGTGAGACTGGTTGTGTACTCAACTTCAAGTCATGAATAAGACACAAAGGCCTCGAGTTTCCCATAAGTCCAGATAAGTCAAATGAATCTACATTTTAGCAGACTGACAGATGTTGTCACACTACACTACTAGACAACTACGCAACCAGTCTGAACACCAAAACCTGCTGTTAAACGGTCTACGTCCAAAGCCCTCTTCAGAGCTTTGGATCAAGTTTGGAAAATGTGGCACAGTTGCTTTTAATGTTACAGATACACATCAGTGTCACAGCAGTGGGGGCTCCGGAACAAGACAGAACTGTATCTGCTGTACGGAGAATGGAAGCAAACGATGCCTGTAATGTTACTGCTGAAATGTTAACGTGTGTATTTCAGAGTCAGCGGATACTGAAGGCAGGTCATGATGCAGCCATGCTGAAGGTTGACGAGCTGGCGGCTCAGCTGAAAGACGAGAGGCTGAAGAGTCTGGACCTGGAGAAACGGCTGCAGAGCTCCGCCATATCCAAGATGACGATGGAGCAGGTGACTAGTGCACTACACGGGCGTATGGTTGTTCACACTGTTGTGAAATGTCTGTTATTAGTGTGGGAGGTGGTTTTCTCTCCCCAAACCAGGGTCAGACCCTCAGAGGACCCCATAGTCACTCAACATGGTCTCACTGTTTCTGATCAGATCACTGCTTAACATGCCTACTGCTCTCCATTTATGCAGCTTTCCACGTCCTTGCTGCTACATAACAAGCAGCATGTCGTCATGGGGAAAATGGAGCACAACTAATAAAACTTCACAGTTTGTACTGAAGGACAGACTCATCGCTTTTTCTGTCATGTGTGTTCTGCAGCTGCAGGAGCATGTCAGTGAACTGGAGCAGGAGAGGGACCTGCTGAAGCAGAACAATGAGAAACTGGTGAACAGGTGAGAAGCCTCAGGTCTGACCATCCAAGTGTTCTGGTGGTTTATTCCTAGTAGAAGGTTCAGTCTCTTCAGGAAGGTGAAGCTGCAGCTGCTGCAGCCATGCTCTGGACTACTACACAGAGGAATGTTCAGAGTCAACTGCGTGTTTTCAGACGGGCCACTTTGGTTCCACTGTCCCCATCTGCAGAACTACCAGGCTACTGATGTATTAAATAGACTCAGCTGTGTCCTTAGAAATGTTTGACGCTTCATGCATGATGCTTACATGTCAACATTAGCCCTCACTCTGAGTAATTGTTATTATATTTATGTGTTTCCAGCGCCTTTGATGTGTCTCAGCAACAGAAATGGCAGATTCAGGAGCAGCAGCTGAAGCTACAGATCACACAGCTTGAGACAGCGTTGAAGGCTGACCTCATCGACAAAAATGAAATTCTCGACAAAATCAAGGCAGAGAGAGGTGCTCTGTTATCCTGTAACTTTGCCCGTTGGTTACCAGAGGCTGATCTACAGTACTCGGTGGTCTCTAGAGGGAACAGACAAAATTCACATGATCACGCTCATGTTATTGATTAACCTGTAACTCATTTCCTTCACCACACAAACATTATGCAGTTGTACTGCCATTTAATTTATTGCCATATGAAGCAAACTAATTTTATGCTGCAGACTGGAGATGTGAAACCAAACATCATCAAATGAAGGATTTTAATGAATGACTTAATATCCTCATTGTATTGATTTTATTATTTTTCAGACACAAATGAGAAGCTGACAGAAGAAAACAAGAAGCTTCAAATCCAGTTTCTAGAGCAGAAGCAAAAAGTGGAGGAGCTGAATGGTCGTTTGAGGCTCTACAGCAGGGTGAGTTGATCTGACTGTGGATGAAATGCTTGCTTCTTAATAAATAGTAAACAGATTCCAGGTTTTCAGGGTTGGAGTCTGTCTATACTTCACTATTAGAAGTGTGCCGTACATTTGTTTGTTTACTTACTTTTTGTCTCTTCCATCTGTGCAGCAGCTCTGTAAATCAGCTGTCCTGATTTCTACCATGAAGAAAAAACTCAAACCAGAAGGGAATAATTTACATTTACATTTTTTGGTTTCATAATAGTGTGCTCTGTTTTTGTGATACTTCATTAGAATACCGTGGGTTTTCCTTCTTATCTACCTTACAAACATGAGCATGTCTCCGTGGGTTTTCCTTCTTATCTACCTTATCTACCTGGCGTGCACCTCAGCTTGTTGAATGAGCCACCCAACAAACCTTCAGCTGAGAGAAGTGCACTGTTAGCAGAGTGTAGATGTCCAACTAGCTACTCAGCTGCAGGTAAATGTTCCTGCAGATGTCACTCAGGCCCAGTTTGATGCCACTGTGCTTCAGACAGCACGCTCTCTGCTTTAGCGCTCCACAGTGAGAGACCTTTTTTGACTACAAAAAGGGTCGACTAATGTGATTTCAGTTGGACCTGAATGACTATTTTACTAGCTAATTTAGAGGATAAAATGATAAATGGCGTGTTTTCCTGGCACAGAAACAGGGAACTCCTCACCTCTACATTTCAGCAGCTTATGGCTGGTGACTGACATTCGAGCCCACTCATGTCAGACCTACTGTAGATTGTAGCTCTTCAATAGTTTAATAAAGTCGTAATGTGTTCTTTGAAGGAGAACGAGTACGACGTGGCCGAACTCACCGAGGCTCTGCTGCTCATTAGGGTAAGTGGAAAAATAAACGTGTTCTCCCTCAGTGTTTGCTAGTCAGGTAGATTTTGTCACCTGTTAATGACAGATAGAACACAGTAACATAACTGTGGCAGATTGTGGCCTGTGTTCATGTGTGTTACATGATGAACCTGGTTTCCTCTGGCTGACTAACAGAGTCTCATTCTAACTGCTTCTCCCTCCTGCATGTGGAAATCTCTCTCACAGACACGTAAATCTCAGCAGAGTGGAGATCTGGGCTTCCTGAAGGACGTGGAGGAGGGAGGAAGCACCACTGTCAGAGAGCTGCGAGCCGCTCACGCTGAAACCATCCAGGAGCTGGAGAAGACCAGGAACATCCTGAGCATGGAGAGCAAGATCAGCAAAGACTACAAGGTGGAGGGGGCCACATGCAGACCAATACTTCATGTCCTTCAACTTCTCTGTCTGGGTCACGTCGTTTCCATGTACCTGTATCTTTTTTAAACAGGTGGCTTAGCTGGGAGATTTAAGACAGTTGGATTGGTTGAAGGTGTCGACCATTTAGCCATCCCCTGTTTAAGTCTGGCCTGGGACTGTTAATGCGCTTTATGTGCCCCTCTCTCATCTTATGTCCTGTCAGCTCTCTACTGTGTATGATCCAATAAAGGCAGAAATTTGCTGAAAACCCACTGTACTGCAGAAAATCAAAGAAAAGAAAATGTGTTACTAACATCTGTCCAACACTGTGCACTGAAACCTTTACTAGTTTATGAATGAAGTCTCTGTATTGTACAAAGTTAAATGCTAAGTCGATTTTGTTTTCTTCTGCTGATCATGAGGCGGAGCTGGAATCTGTGTTACGGAAGATGGAGAGTGACAGAGGCGAGTACAAGCAGAAGCTGGAGCAGCAGGCCCAGCTGCTGGACACGAGGGCAGCGAAGATCAAGAAACTGGAAGGTATTTATCCAAAGTGTCATCAAAGCTTCATCTGTGGAAACACTTGGAGCTGTAGATTCAGCTGCCTGCTCTCACTGCCACACACACCCGAAGACCACACGCTGTGATAAGATTGATTATAGAAAAAATTAAAACAGGATTACAGAAAGGTGGAAAGACCAGCAGCTCCTCACACTGTACAGCTGTGTCCCATGAAAAGCACAGGTGTTTGTGCTTTGATTATGTAGGAACTCAGACTATCTCTGTTCCTCTTTCTGTGCCTCAGCTCAGCTCAAGGACATCGCCTACGGCGCCAAAACCTACGTCTTCAAACCAGACATCACAGACGAGGACGAGGCAGATAAGTTTGATGAACCTCTTCACCTGCAGCATGGAGAGAACCTCCTGGAGCTACAGATAGTCAGTGCCACGCTGTCCCCGTCTACCCTGGAGACTCTAGGCGACAGTGAACTCTCCACCTTCTTTACCTACTCCTTCTTTTCATTTGGGCTGCACTCCACTCCAGTGGTGACGGGCCACAGCCCGAAATATGGCTTCACATCCAAGTACGTGGTGGCCATGGACGACCAGTTCCTCGACTATCTCCACAGATGCTCGGTCACTGTTGAGCTGCATCAGGCCTTGGGATTAGACTGGAGGACTCTGGCATCCGGACGGATACGACTGCAGCAGCTGCTAGAGCAAGACGGGAAAGTTTACGGGACCACACCGCTGGTCGGTGAGTGAGGTTTGATCTAACCGACTACTGCTGTCGGCAGCTTGTAAGCAGGTCTAGACTGGGTCAGCTTCGGTAGAAGTGTTTGTTTAGTGAAGAAGTAGCCAGACAGGCTTTAAGCCAGGAGATGGAGCTGCAGGTCCATGTGCCCAGAACAGCTGGGAAAATGTGGAGAACACTTGTATTTTGTTGAAGAAGGTCCTGCTGTATATATTTTTATTTTGTCTACAAACAGTATATTTTTTGTAGTTCTAATGTTTCTCCAGTTGATAGTAATGAAATATGTTCAATATGTTTCACAAAAGATGGAAAAACGTAACCAGACAGATACAAGACATGGAAACATTAAAAACATAGCATAAGACAGAGTACAAGTTTCTTGTTAAAGCAAGACAGAAAAAATGGTTCACATTCTAAAGATCTGCAGGAGACAGGCTTTAGTCCTGCTTAATGTGAGTTGGCAGAACAGCCATGCACTGAACTTCGTAGTTGTTAACAAAAAAAACCTTGAACAATATATAAAATCATTTTCACAGAGAAAACCTTTTTTTTTTATCATAGGTGCCCATGATGAGGTGCACTCCTTCGGCTCTGTGGATTACTGGTTGCGACTGCGGATCCCCTTGACAGAAACCATCCGTCTGTATAAAGAGAAGGTGAAGCCTGTGGGCTACACGAGCACTGCACTAAGCGAGGATGCACAGGTAGGCGACCAATTTCACACATACCCGTCAACGTATCGTAGTGTTGTGTAGGTGTCACTGAGCATGTTGACTGATGTCAGGTCAGTTTTCTTCAGCTAAATACCAAGAAAAGTAAGGAAATGATATTTGATTTTAGAACTAGAAGGGAGACACATTAACAAGTAACTACCACTGGTGACTGCGCTGAAGTTGTAAATGAATACATATATCAGTTGTTGATGTAAAACTGTCATGGGACTTAAATACAGGTTTCATTTGCATGAGGGGGCTACTGAGATTAGACGTCATGTGTAGTTTGTCAGTTTGCTGTGGAGAGACTGGTCCTCTTCTCTCGTTCAGTCATGGAGGATTCTAACTTTTCTTTTTGCTGCTTGATATTTCTCATTGTCTGTAGTTAACAAGATCAAACTTAATTAACTTGTTAATAAGGCTGCGGGTGGATGTTGTGGTAGTGGTGAGGAAAGGCCGGCGATCCTCACAGACGTACTACATCCTATTTATGGTGAATATGAGCTGTTGCTGTCAGGACAAAGGAACAGTGCTCAGAGATCCATACACCACAGTGCAGCTCTATCAGACAGAATGGTGACAGCACTACTCAGGTCCTTTACTTCAGTCAGAGTAGTAATACCACAGTCTAAAAATACTTTGTACCATCAGTACCAGTACTCGTCCTGCAGAACGCCCCGTGTCCCAGTAATGTCTCTGATACTGGATCATAGTCTCTGATGCGTTACTGTGTTCATCACTTTAATGCTGCAGCTGGTAAAGTGTTGAATTCTCTGCGGACCAGCAGAGCAGACAGTAACAGCCGGTATTAAACCGTCAGTAAGTGCAGCAGCAGAAGTTTCAGTTCAGTTAGTGCTGCACCATTTTCTGTAAATAAACCTTTCATTGTTGTCTGCTCTAAACTGCAGCCACACAGCAGCAGCTGGAATGTACTGCTCGTCACCGTCCAGCGCTGTCGGGATCTCCAGGCCAGAGGCTCCCAGCAGCTGAGTCCCTACGTGGTCTACAAGTTCTTTGACTTCTCCGACTACCCCACTGCCACCATCCATGACTGCTGTGACCCCCACTTCAGTGACCTCAAGTCCTACTCTGTCCTGATGGATGTAGAGCTGGATCAGTACCTGAAGTCTGAGGCCCTTCAGTTCTATGTGTTTGACTACAAAGAGGAGCAAATGGACATGTACCTGGGGAAGGCCAGGGTCCCTCTTCTGTCACTGGCTCAGGACAAAGGCGTCACAGGTGAGGGTTAGCTGGGGCTAGCACTGTTCTGGTCTTACTTCTTGACCTAGACACACATACGTCTCCTATCTTCTGTTGTATTTTTGAAGCAGAGGTGCCCCAGACTACAGCCACAGAAGGGCAGTAAGCAGCAGTTAAAACAGAAACAATGGGTTCCTCTTCTTCTTTTGTAGAGTTAAAATCGTGCAGAGGGACAGGCTAACTAGTTTTTCTGTAGGGCCTTATTCTGGTTTTACCCCAACGCCTTCATTTTTGTCAGTGTGAGCTTGTCTGGTTTAGCTTTTGGTTTTCACAAACCTTACTAAAATATCGTGTGTTCCAGACTCTGAAATTTTGATAATTGAAACCTTTTACAAGCAAAGGTGTAGAAAATCAGACGGTTACGGGTTTTCAAACCTTTGCTGCTTTTCTTGACTTAATAGCAAAAATAAAAAGAATAATAGTAAAACAAAGTAAAACTCCTGAAAGCGCATAATTCAGTCACAGCTTCATCTGTTGCTGTGATGAAGATATCGTGCAGAGGGACAGGCTAACTAGTTTTTCTGTAGGGCCTTATTCTGGTTTTACCCCAACGCCTTCATTTTTGTCAGTGTGAGCTTTCAATTAATCAGTCACAGTTTTGATAATCAAGCAATCACTAATCAAGTTTCAAGCACAAATGCCAGAAAATGTTTGTTTTCAGGTTCTCAAATGTGAAAAATCGCCACTTTTCTTGGCCTTGCATTCAAGCAGGTCGAGTGTTGTTGGGCGTGAGTCTTCAGATGTGTCTCACATCAAACTGTTAAACAGTTTATCAAGACCAGTCAGTACTAGATTAATAATGCAAGTTATCGTTTGGACGGATGGTTTTCTGCAAATTAGACAAATTAGTGCATTTATATGATAAAACACACATCTGGATGAAACAAAGCATCTGGAGAAAAAGAGCAGAAACTTCCATTTTCCATTTGTCAGCTACACTTTTCAAGATGAGACTTGTCACCATGTGAGTGAATTTCATTAGAGGTTTAGATGAACTGTCATCCACTGACTTCAGCTTTGGGTGCTAAACGACTTGAGATCACTATGGTGGGTCGACTTCACCATAATTCGCCTTGATTTCTGTTTATAATAGCTGAGACAGAAAGAGCGTAGTGAGCTCACTGTTTGGTTTACTGCGCTCCTAAAAAGCCAAAACTGAGAATTCTCTGAATGTTACACCTGTTTCCTCATAAACAATGAGCTCACCATTTAAGGACTAAACCCAACAGAGTTGGAGTGAAACGCTTTAAATTAGTAATTAGTTTGGTGTCCCATGCCTCAGGTTGATTTCAGTGTATAATCTGCCTTGTTTGTCCCTGAGGTGTGTTTGAGCTGACCGATCCCTCTGGACTCCCTGCTGGACACATCGAGGTGACTCTGAAGTGGAAGTTCCCTTACCTCCCTCCACCACGCTCGATCATTAGTGCTGAAGAGCCAGTGTTCATCCCTAAAGACACACCTGTGCACGGACCTGCTGGGCTCAGCGAGGAGGCAGAGAACAAAGACAAACTCCTGACAGACACAGACCTGGAGGAGCTGCTGCAGGAGGAGAAGGAAGCCAGAGACCCCTCTCATCACTCCACTTCTCTCTCCTCGAAGGTCAGGAGATAAATTGGTACACAGTAGTGCAGCCATACAGTTTAACAGGGCTGCAGCAATTCAACAGGAGCATGGAAGACTTTCATATAATCAGCAGACAGGAATGAAGCAGCCAGGATTTAATGTTCGTTTGCTCCTTAAGGAACAGTTTGATATTTAAGCAAATCCTCTTCTTGTCTTTCTCTCTGAGAATTCAGATTGATGCCACTCTCGCATCTGTTTCGTAACTTAGGGAAACAGCTGGTTTAGCTTAGCATGAAGATTGGAAACGGAGGGAAACAGCTAGCTTAGCTCAGTCCAAAGTAACAGAATCCGCCTGCCAGCACCACTGGCAGTGGTCAGTGATTAACGTGTTATCTTGTTTGTTAGTGTATATGTTGAACTGACATAACTGAATTCAGTGTTACACCAAATTCTGTATCTTATCACATTCTGTGATTTTAGGACATGCTTACTTCTAGCGTATTTTATCATGTACTTCACTTTAAAAGGTGAACCCTAAAACTGCTGTTTATGAGCAGTGCTGTTACACCAGTGTGGTTTCTTGTGAAAATAACAAAACCATAACCAAAGATGCGGAACAATCCACTTAGAAATGATTCTGAAAACACATCATGTCTTACTACCACTGGAGAATGTTACTGGTGTCCTGAACTGGCCCCTGTGAGTTTTGGCCAGAATGTTTCATGGCCCACTAACATGTTGTCTTGTCATAACTCCATCCATCTGAATGTGTTTCTACCTTTAGGCCCCGCTGCCAAAACCCAGAAGACAGAAGCCACAAATTAAAGAGGGGCCGGCTGCCAAGAAAGTCACATTTGTAGATCCCGCAACTGCAGCTGACCAGGTGTCGTTTCACTGAATGATTATCAGATAGTTTTGTGTCCCATGCATCTCCCATTTCATTCATGAAACATAGGTTCACCAGACTGAAACCACAGATGGATAACAGACAGCATTTAAAATAGAACAAAACATATCTTCCTTCTTCTCTCGTATAGTTGAAGGGCAGAGTTGGTAAATAAAATTCAAAATGTGGAAATGGCTGCAAATAACTAGGGCTACACCATAGCATTATCTAGCCAGTTCTGTATGATGCCATTTGTTTTTCCATGTGCTTACAGTCACCAATAGGCACAATCTCATAAACACAGTCCATCTAGTCAGTGAGTTATTGGTATTCCCACTCCCACTTTATCCGATTGTGTCTGACCCACAAAGCACTCAGTTATACGTGACCTGGACCCCCCACTTTACCAGTGCTGCGCCCCCTTCCTTCCAGCCATAGCTATAAACTGCCTCTGTGTAGAAATGCCTGTTTTTGTAAGAGCTTTGCCAACAGCCAGAAACCACCATGAGTTTGATGTTTTCACTGTTGAGGACAGTGTGCCTACGCAGAAGAGAGGGACAGCAGTATGACCTGTTGTAAAGGAAAACGTACACTGTCGGGTTAAAGATTCTTTGCCCATAATAATATAGATTCCCTCACTGATATAAATAGAGTGGACAGTATAATAGAAACACCGGGCTTGGGACCGGCACAGAAGCCACTGGCTTGCAACCCCTGTGGCTAGATTACAGTATAATAGAAACACCGGGCTTGGGACCGGCACAGAAGCCACTGGCTTGCAACCCCTGTGGCTAGATTACAGTATAATAGAAACACCTGTCAGTAAAACAGTAAAGTTCAGCAAAGGCACAAACTACAGCCTCCACAATGAATCAACTAGGGGCACCATACCACAACACTGGTAGGGGGTTTGTAGCCAACAGGTGGAGCCGTTTAAATACTGAGTGGACAGAATGGACAGAGTAACGGCTTCAGTTTCTGCTTATTGGAGGCCTGTAATGTTTCAGTAGGTTAAACCGTCCAAATGATGCAGAAAGTATCACAACTTGTCCAGGACAGTTTTTACTCTCACAGTCTTTTTAATAGAAGTGCAGTTGGGTGAAAAACCCACTGATGTGGAAACAAGTCAGCTCCATCTCAAACGAGCACATGTGAGTTCTGGACTCTGGACTGAAGAGTGACTTCCTGTGTGTGCAACCTGTGACTTTCCCTTTTTGTGTTTGTATTTGCAGGTTGTTTCAGATGTGACTCCAGCTCCTCACAGTGCCGCAGAGGAGTTCAACGGGGAGGAGGAGGAGGAGTCTCACTTCTCTGAAGGACAGCTGGTCACAGCCAGCTCCCAGTCCTGCTCTGATGACTCTGAAATCTCCGAGGAAATTATTGAGGGTAAGGAAACACTGATGTTGATTGTTAGAATCACTGCTGGCTTTTCTGCCTCCTCTACCAAAGTTTTCTCTTCTGTAATTCTCTGTTTGCCAGACACTGCAGCATCTTTCATGTGTTTTGCTTTCCACTGTGGTAAGAAAACCAGTTTGTTTTCATCACGGGTCAAACTCCAACATCTTCTCCCGAAAGCTACTAGTCTGGCTGTTGTTTACTCCCTGTTGTCTGTCTTAAAGTGCAAATGTTTTTGTTTTCTAACAATGCGTCCTGAGCAAAACAGACATAAATAATGGAAGCGCTGCCAATAATCTTTAGAGCAGAGTTCATAAATGTTAATGACAGCCCTCTGAGAGGCAGAGTACATCTCTCTCACCTTATTGCTATCAGCAGGTGATGTGGGAGACATTGTGTTCCGGTCTTTAGAATTCACTTTCATTTTCCTCTTAAAGTGTGGGCTGTTGTTTTCTCTGAGCTGTTTGCCTGGGTCTTCTTGTACTGTGCCAAGGATGCATCTCATTCTTGTTTTATTTCCTCCTCTGCTTCCCTTCTGCATCGCTCCAGATGTTGAGGAGGCCCCAGCTGCCAAAGAGGATCAGTCGGACAGCGATGACTGCATTGTTCACGGACAGGCCACAGTGAGGAAGGTCAGTGAGAAAAACCTTGCACCAGAGGGTGTAGACGCTGTGCACCGATGAATCAGAGAGAATGCATCAGCAGTTTCTGGGGGATTGCTGTGTTGTTGTGTGATGCCAGGTGTTTTGTTTTTGTGGAGGCTCACTTCGATTTTATTCAGTGATCGTCCAGGCAGTTTGAGCGATTGGTCTGTTTGTTAACACCACAAACTTTCACAAACTCAGTGGGGCACTTCTTCTTCTCTGGTTTTATTGTGCAGAAGATAACGTTAAGTCAAACCAGTCAACAAATGTTCAGTCAGGAGAGATTAATTGTATTTATTGCTGTAATGTATTTTCATTATCTAATAAATATTTGGCCTAGATAACATAATGCCCTGAGTCTGGTTCAGTTTCACCAACAACCAAACCCAGAGATCCAGTTTGCTGTTTTGTTCAACCACAGAAAAGCAGCAAAGCTTCATCATTTAAAAGCTGAAACTTGAAAATATCTGGATGTTTCACCTAAGAAATGACTGTAACAGTCAAAGATCGCAGGTTAATATTTTGTTCTGTTATTGACTGATTCTTTCAGCTCTGATTGAGCGACTTGCTTGATTAATTAAACAAAATAATTTTTTATAGGTTGTGCAGTCTAGTAAAGTGGACGAGGTTACAGGCATATAAAAACACCAAACGATGTGCCATGAATGTCATCTCAGCAAATCCCGGGGCTTTTTGCTCAGAGACAAACACTGTTGTCTCGGTCACTTTCCCCCAGATATTTCCCAGGTGCAGCGGGAAGGATTGTTTTGGAATATATTTTTAAGTACATTCAAATGCCTTTATTGCAGTGGCCATAATGGTTTTATTTCCCAATCACCTTAGTGTTTCCCTGACCCAGTAAATTCTTGTGTTCAAGGAAACCTCAGTTTGGTTACCATTTTTAGTTTTTCCATTGCTCTTTTCAGCTACATACACAGAAACACCACTAGACTCCATCTTATGTTGAATTCACATTATTGAAGAAAATCGACGTTTACACTGACCCACACACAGGACTCTGTGAGTTTGTGCAGCTGACGGCCTGGCAGACAGAAATCTGTAAGTGCTGAGCATTCGTTTCTGTTTGCAGTTTTTTAAAATCTCATCTCATGAGCTAAAATCCTGATTATCTGGGAAAAGGGATTAGCTCTGCAGGCTAGTTACACAGGCCACTACAGACAAACTGCGAAACCTCGATATATGTAAACTGTCAGTGCAGGCCTGCTCACCTCCCAACACCACCGGACCATCACAACAACAACTAGAGCTGCTGCTAACGTTCATGTTCATTAGTCTGCCAGTCATACTCTGAATACATCGTTTAATAATATAAATAATGTCCATCAAGTCCAAGGAGTCCTCACATATCCCACTGAGGTTTGCAGCCTCTTTCCTGGCTAAGACCGCAGCACCACAAGTTCCAGGCAAAACAACATAAAAGACACATGCAACACTAAAACAAAACAACAATGCATCAAATCTGCAATAAGCTGAGAACACAGGAGGCTGCAAACTGCTGTGAATTCAGTCAGTGATACTGAGTTTATTTATTCAATTTCACTCTGAAAATTATTCAAGTGTCTGCAGCAGAAAATATGAAGCTTTCTTTCATATTCAGTTCACTGTGATATGACACAGATAGCAGCTGAAGATGAGCCACAGATGGTATCCTGGATGATTTTTAGGATAGTTGTCCTCACCTTTGGAACTCACCCAGCGTGTGCTCCTCATTCAAGGCTGTCAAAACAAAGAATGTGAAGGAAGGAATGTGGGAACAATGTTGGGCTATGTTTCCTTTATGAAACGACCTAGCGATTATGGAGCGATCACTGTTTTACTGTAGCGATATGAGTTATCCTCTACACTGTGATCCATGTCTCGGTCCTCAGGCCTCGGAGCGAGTGCGGCTAGAGATCGTGTCCCTTAGTCTGAAGCCGGGCTCTCGGGTGACCCGGGACAGCAGCGTGGTTCGCCTCTTTGTGGAGTACTCTTTCCTGGATCTGCTCACAGAGGAAACCCCCCTGTCTCTGCCCAAACCAGCATCAACTTAAACTACAGCAAAGGTCAGAGCCTACACCTGGACTGGGTTTGCACCCACGCTGCTTCTCCCTTTGTGTTTTGATGTGGGCGGCCTTCAGTTGCCACACTTATGGCACTCGGTGCTAATACCAGTAAATCCGGTGTGAACCAATCCAAACAGGTCAGGTGTGAGGGGCCATACAACAGATAAAGGCTCCGCTCATTGTTAGTTTAACCCCCAGTGTAAAACCTTCCCTCTGATGGGGTGTATCCAGCTCTCTGACACTAGGACACATTGTTTACCTGCACATACATGTCACAAGTGTTTTCTGTTTACACATGTTTTAATATTCCACCATTTAAACAGTGAAACAGTTTGAGACATTGTTTTCTCAGCTCATTTTGATGAATAAAATATCTTTTGCAGCCACAGTAAGTACCGTGTTGAGAGTTGTGTTTGTAATGAGTGACATTTGACCTGTCTGTTGTTCTCCAGTCATTCCTGTGGATGCTGAGAACAATGGGCCTCGGCGACGGCTGCTCAGGCGAGTCCTGCAGGGACGAGACCCTGAGATGGAGAGGTGAGGACACGTTGTGACCAACAGGAGCGATGCTGCTACTCCTTGTTCAGACAGAAAGTGAGGAGGAGACTGATGAGACCCGTTCTGCTGTCGATGCAGGTTCAGCGGTCGCAGCAGACTTTCAGCATTGTATGATAAAACGATGTCGTAAAAGCAGTTTGAGTTTGTGTCAGCTCTAATGAGTTATAATCAAGTTTTAAATGTGGGAAACTTTGCTGCTGTGAAAAGAAGAGAACACAGAGGAGTTCAGCTGCGTGCAGCAAAGGCAGCAGCCGCCTCTGCTTCACTCACACAGAAGGCCACGCTACAACACACACACTCTCAGTTATTGTTCATTTGTTTTAGTTCTGTTTGTGTCTCTGAGGTTTCTGCCTCCACTCCGCCACAATACTGTGCTGCTCACAGCTGTGAAAGCCTGTTTTTGTAAATTCAGCAGCAGCATTTCTTTGTCAGTGTTCTCAGTTTTTGTACGTTAGGAACTATTTACAAGCACAATTAGAACCTGCTAACAGGTGGAAGAATACTGTGCAAACTGGTGCAGCTGTAAATATCACTCTTTGTTCTAATATTATTATTACACTTTGTCTCCACAGTTTGGCTGCAATGTTCAGGTGACAGCTTTCAAAACAAGTTTCTTCCGTGCAACATCACAACACTGCCAAGTCTTTTCTTACAAATGGCAGCACACAACTCGGCCCAGTTGCTTCCAGTCAGAGCAGTTTTCAGTTCTCTATGTTTTTTGGATCAAACCAGATCAGCTTCTTCTCTTATTCCAGAACATTTATTTCACTGTTCCTATCATCACATGCACATTAGTTCATGCATGTGTCAAAATATGTCAAGTCCTCAGCTGTTATAAATCCCCCATGCATAGATAGTCATGTCACAAAGGATTCACACCGCTTCACTTGTTTCACTGCTTCAAATTCATGCTTGTAAAATGCAGACAGTGAAGGGGCAGGAATCCTGAGCTACTGGAATTTCCCCACTGTGGGATCAATAAGGTCCTACCTATTTACACCCTGCTGGATTTTCTTTATACATGTCTGAATGGGGTCCTTAAATCTGCATGCGCCTCTTCTGTTTTGTCTGAACAGAATCCGGTTTACAGTGGTGAGTGAGCCTCCAGAGGAAGAAGAGCAGGAGAAGGAGTGTGAGGATGTGGGAGTTGCCTTCCTGAGGATCCCCGAAATCCTGGAGAAACAGCAGGACCTGACTGATACCGGTCTCAGCGGTCAGTGTACAGTAGATTCTCTGTTTGCTCAGCTGGAGGACATGGGACGCGATCGCAGCGCTCAGCACAGACTGAATTTCCATGTAACACGCTTGCTGTAGTCACAGAGTCTGTATGGTTGTGTTTCCTGTAGTTGTGGACGTGGAAGACGACAGCGAAGTGGTGGGCACTTTGACTGTGTCTCTGGAGGGACTGGAGGCTCTGCAGGCCATCATCAAGGACCAGGACCACGAGTGAACCCCTGTCTCCTCCCTGCTTCCATCAGCATGAGACAACACTGACTTGACATCACCTTGACAAAAAAAACACCTGAAACACCAGCGATACATGTGAAGCAGATCGTGTCACAGACAGCACTTGAATGATGAACAGCATCGTCTCACCATTCGGTTCAGCTGATGCTTTGCCTTCACCCTGAGGTCGCACGTCCTCGCTGTGCACTGGGTTCATATTCTGTAGATGCGATTTGTGTCAGTGACTATGTTGTTTTAAGTAATTTAAGTTTTACTGATTCTTTGCCCTGTCAGTACAGGTTTGATCTTTCACAGGTCAAAATAAACGTAGGAAAAACTGCGCTATGTTTGATTGAAAAGGAATTCTGTATGAATGTTGATGTCAGTCCACGCTGGCATATCCCAACAAGCACTGGTCGGGCTGCCATGACACAGGCGTCTCTTGATCTTGGAAAAAGCTTAAAGAGAATTTAGTTAAAAGTTTCCCAAAAATGGAGGTCTAGAAGAAATGCTGATGGCAGTAAGGGTCAGGTCAAAGACAGCTCTAGCAATCATTTGCACTGATTCTCCATCATAAATTCATTCTTTGCTATGAAAGTATGGTATTTATAAATATGACATTACAGTACATCACACTGAAATCCAACTGTAAATCCCCAAATCAGTGCTCGGTTTGAGGTTGATGTGGTAAAAGTAGCTTAGTTCTGGCTGAAACAGTGACTTCCTGTCTCAGTCAGGTCGACAAGTAAACAGCAGAAGTCTCCATGAAAACTGTATAAAAATAAAGTTTACTGCCTTCCCTGGTAGTGAGGGCTGTACTGTGACAAGACAAACCACCGAGGTACTTCTTATGATTGTAGTACATCACCTCATACATTCAGAATGTGTTATGTGTAAAAGTTTGTTCATCTTTTATAATGGTCTGTTTTTAAATGTGAAAGTCTAAAGTTTGTACTGCCTTGATACACTGCGGTTATTTTCTGTATTTCAGGTGTGTTTACCTGCTTTTTCCAGGCAGAAGGGACTCGTTAGTGAGTCTACAGCTGTCCATGTGATGTTTACTGTAGCTTAGGTTAGGTTGTGGGTCTCTCGTCTCTTTTTTCAGTTGATTATCCTCAGCGTGTTGATACGGGTGAGGAGACCTGCAGGTATAACAGAATCATGTTTGAGAGGTGAGAAGGCAAATTTCCTGAAAATGTGCCTTAAATGTGATTATTTCTGTATGATGTTTTGTATTGTGCTCTAATAAAGAGCTGTTGTTTCTGTGCATGTGGCAGAGAACAAATCTGTTTTACATGTTTATCTTCATAAACATGATGCTCAGAGCTGTTGATAATGAAGGTACAACATCACACAGCTGTATCTGATGGACCAAGATCAAACTGCACATAACATGGATATGTACAGCACAGCAGTAGTGATGGTAGTAAATGTGGTTTTATGCCTTAACTCAAACACATTTTACACACAACAAGCAAACAAGAAACTACATTAATAAAAATGCCTAAGTCTAAATAAAAATATAAATAAGAACTGTTGTTCTAACTTGCTGAATACCAAAAACGTCCAGGGAGCATTTTTGTGTTGTTTGTAACACTGGATGTCTCTAAATGTTGTGTCTGCCAGACATGGTTTCGCTGAGGAAAAGAGCATTAAGATTTTAGGTTGGGGGCAGTAGTAGTCAGCTGTTAAATCTGAGTGGGCTTCAGAGAACTCGTGTTCTGGTTCTGCTCAGTCTGAGGTTCAGTGTCATTTCTCAGCCCCTTCCTCTGCACACTCTCAGCATCTGCTAATGTTGTGTTCTTTTCCCCCACACGTTGCTGTGCCTGCTCTCGTCCCACACCTGTTGTGTTGGATGGGCGGGCTGAGGCTGTCAGCTCCAGCTGATGCACACAGGATCTCCGAGCACAGAGAGCACAGCGCGCAGAAGCACCCACCACAGGCCCAGACCCCGCTGCAGCAG